AGGTGAGTAGTGGACAAGTTAGGTCAGGTCAGGAGGGGGAGGCCAAGTCAATGTTAAGGCCATTGGCTGTAAGTTTCTTGGGCGAAATATCAGGTATTGTTCCTCCAGTTTATGTTTGGCCTCACTCTGACAGTGGAGGAGGCCAAGGATGGACATGTCATCAGGGGAGTGGGAAGGGGAATTAAAATGGACGGCAACTGGAAGGTTGGGTTGGTTGTTGCATGCAGTAGCAACCCCCTCCTGACCTGACCTAACCTGTCCATTTTCCTACTCACCTATCCACTCCACCCTTCTGACGGACCAATCACAATAACCCACCTACCTGCATCCACTTATCACCATCTCTCCTACCCTTCCTCCTACCCACCCCATCCCATCCCCTCCCTCTATTTATTTCTGGGCTCCCCTCCCCCTTCCAAGTCCTGATGAAGGGTTTTGGTCCGAAACATTGATTTACCTGCTCCTCTGATACTATAATTTTCCAGCCTCACAACTATAGACTCTGGCTTCCAGCACCTGCAGTTCTTATAGTCTCCTTTCCTCCATGTTTAATACACTTGGAAGAAACTGAGGGTAACTCGGAACAGAAGGAATCCTGGGTGGGGTATCTCAACGTCCTTCACCCAAAGAGAATTATCAATATTAACTAAGTTGCCAGTCTGGGTCTGCAGCAGATTATGATGAATGAAACAACTACAGGGAAAATGTACTCGACATTGTCCTCATCAACTTACCTATCCCAGATGCATCTTTCCACGACGGTATTGGTAAAAGTTACCATCTGCATTCCATGTGCACACTTTGCAGCTCAAAACTGGGCATCCTTCATGCCCAGTGGAATATCATCAATTCTCAACCATAACCTGTAATTTCATGGCCTAGAATGTCCCTTGCTCTATCATTAATATCCAGATAGGATATAAATGAGGAATGTAAAAAGGAGTTCATCAGAATGACAAGATGTTTCTAAAAATTATGTGCTAACTTGAAAAAACTATAAAAGAAGGTTATATATATGCTACACACCATCCAGAGAAGGCAGGTAGTACTGGGGATGAAAGTGGATGGCACAGCTGTACTTTCGGTGCAGCTGGGTAAGAGAAGTGAGTAGGTGGTGCAGAGGACAAAGACGGTTTGTGCTTTTGAGGACTGGAAGAGTGGGGAAAATGTTGCAATAATTAGAGTAGTAAAATATGAATTTTGTCGGAGGGGCACAGTGACGGATTGTGCGAGTGTGAGGTGTCGGAGAGAAGATAATGGGATATAGACTGATGGAGTAGCGAAGGGCATTAGCCTTCTTCCTACATTTCTGAGCAATCTTCCAAAAATCTGAGACTGCACTAACCCGAGTAGCAACCTTAAGACAAGTATTGGACTTTCACTGCTGATCCCGTGAGAAGAGGAAGTCTGGTCAGCATCATCCCATCCAGCGTCAGGACCATCCTATCCAGCATGATGTCCAGTTCCCTGCGCTCAAAGTTGTGCACAATTTCCACATTTCTGCCATTTCCAGAGCAAATGTCAGGAACTCTGCCAGACAACTCTTGATTTACAATGCAAATCCAGGTGCAGAACGGCCTTTAAAAGATGGGGTTGGACATTCGGAGTCCGACAGTTATGAGATAGCAAGTTGTGAAAAATTGCCCAGGTATAACCAGCCTTCAAAAGACAGGACAAATCCATGCCAAACAATTACCATTCCATCAGTTTTCTATTGGTCAACAACAAAGCAAAGGAAGTTGTCATTGACAGTCAATCAAGCGGTACTAACCCAGCAATAAACTGTTCACCAATACCAAAAATAGGTTCTACAGGGCCGGTCAGCAGCAGACTTCCTATGGCGTTTTGTCCAAAGAACTGAATTCAAGAGATGTTATGAAAGTGGCTCTCTTTACAGCGTTTTCCATCAAGGATCCCTAACCATATTGAGATCTTTGGGAATCCATTGCACAAGGGAACATGGTTGCAATTCTTGAAAACCAATTGACTTAGCCCCACAGCATCACTGCAGGAAAGAGTTCTTATTAATGACCTTCCCTCCATCATAAGATTAGAAAGGCAAGATGTTAAACTCCTCAGAAACTGCAGTCAGTGTTCATATGTAGCAAAACCCAGACATCATTCAGATTTGGACTGAAATGTGGCAAGTAACACTGAGGCACATAAGTGTCAAGCAATGACCAGTTCATTATTGCATCCCCCATTTTCAACATCCAGGGTTTTGGGAGTTGAAGGGTACCATTGATCACAAATGGAAATAATCTAGCCATATGAATATTGTGTGAACAAGACGTCAAAGGTTGCAGGCTTGGAGATTACTATCTAAGGATCCCGGTGAGTTGTTGCACTACATCTTGTTGCACCTATGTTGTTACACGATGCATTCACTGTGCCCAGTTTTAAGTTTATGGATCTTCTTGAAATTTGTCCCATTTAGGATGGTTAATGTGTCAGACAATATGATAAATGGTATCGTCAATATGAAGATTCATCTCCACAAGGAGTGTGCAGTGGTCTTGCCTACCAATAATGACATGCATTGCATCTGCAACAGGTAAATATTGCCCAGGACAGAGGATACCTCCCCATACTTCTTCAAAATAATATTGTAGGATCTATTTTCACCCACCTGAAATTAACAAAAGACACTAGATTCATGATGTATACAGGACATCCTCTGGCCACTGTATAAATACAAGGCATTTTCAACAGCTCCCAGCAACATTAGGCCTGAAATGAATAACATGGTATTCTGTACAGCTAAAATCTGTTTCACAGACTGTCAAAAAAACTCCTGACAGCGACATGCCACTCCTGATGCATTCTGCACCCTTATCAGTTGGTGCTCAATATGGAGGAGCACTGTTTTATCATCCAAGATTGTAAAGGATGGAGTGCGTGGAGTGGTAGGTGGTCATCAGTAGGAGGTTTACTTGCATGTATTCTTGCCACAAGACTTAAGGGGGTCCAGAGTCAACATTGAGGATTCCCAAGGCAACACCCTCCAAACTGTATACCTTTGCGCCACCATCACTGCTGGGCCTGTCCCAAGGATGTTGGTCCGAGCGATGCTGTCTCTAAAGTATGATTCCACGTGTAAGAATATGTCAGGTTATTGCTTGACAATTGTGTGAGACAACTCTCCCAATTCCAAAATTTTTAGGATTGACAGGTCTGGATTTGCTGTAGAGATGGCAACAAATGGCCACTTTGTTAATGGCAAAGACATCCCATGAATGAATAAAAAAACATTCAAATGGCATCAAACGCACTTCCAGAGGAAGACCAGCAGGCTCCACTTGCATGGAATATGCCATTAAGAAACATACTCAACAAGATTACACTCAAAGAACAATACAGCACAGGAACAGAGCCTTCAGTCCTCCAAGCCTGTGTGACACATTTTGCCCTTCCATACTAAAATTGTTTTCACTTACAGGATCCATGTCCCTCTATTCCCTTCCTATTCATGTATTCATCCAAGTGCTTCTTGAATGCTGTTATTGTGTCTGCTTCCACCACCTCCTCTGGCAACACGTTCCAGGCACTCACCATTCTTTGTGTGAAAAACATGCCTTGCACATCTCTTTTAAACTCCGCGCCCCCATCACACCCTGAACCTGTGTCCCTTAGTAATAGCCGCCTCCACCCTGGGAAAAAGCCTCGTACTTTCCACTCTATCCATGCAATTAATAATCTTATAAACTTTTATTAGGTCACCCCTCAACCTCCTGCGTTCCAGTGAAAACAAATGCAGTCTATCCAACCTTTCTTCATAGCTAAAATCCCCCATACCAGGTAACATCCTGGTAAACATTTTCTGTACCCTCTCCAAAGCATCCACATCCTTTTGGTAGCGAAGTGACCAGAATTGTATGCAATATTCCAACTGTGGTCTAACTAAAGTTCTATAAAGCTGCAGCATAACTTGTCTATCCTTATACTCATTGCCCCTTCCAATGAAGGCAAGCATGCCATAAGCCATTTTTACTACCTTATCTACCTGCAATGCCACCTTCAGTGATCTGTGAATCCACACACCCAGATCCCTCTGCATATTAATACTCTTAAGAGTTCTACCATTCACCATATAATTTCTACCTGTATTTGACCTTCCAAAATGCATCACCTCACGTTTGTCTGGATTAAATTCCATCTGCCATTTTTCTGCCCATGCCTCCAACTGATCCAAATCCTGCTGTATCCTCTGACAATCCTCCTGAAAATCCGTAGCTCTAACAATCTTTCTATCGTCAGCAAAGTTACTAATTAGACAGCTACGTTTTCCTCCAAATCATTTATGGAGATCATGAACAGCAGAGGTCCCAGCAGTGATTCCTGTGGAACACCACTAGACACTCTAACACAATCCTCCTTCCATCCTCCTGCATCAAAGTCCATGAACACGTATTTATTCTTTCTTTATGTAACTCTGACAGTATGGAATAATCCATCTTTCTCTCTCTGAGTTACCTGCATGTGCCATTTATTTACAGCAAATTCAGAAATTGCTGGAAAAACTCAGCAGGTCTGGTAGCATCTGTGGAAAGAAAGCGGAGTTAACGTTTCGGGTCCTTCTTTAGAACTGAACTTACCAAACCAACAGAGCAGGGAGTTGGGCCTTTGACCTCCCTGCCGCAAGGCTTTTTTCGACATTTAGTCGCCATCGTCTGTTTCTCCCACTCGGACCTCCTCTGTGTAATCAGATAGAGTGAGGGATTCTGAGGGACCTTCAACACCGGCTTCCGCTGGGCCTGTCACCATAGCAACCACCAAACACCGGCCCGCGCCATGTGTATTGCCAAGGAGATGACGTAGCTTCGCCATAGCAACGGACAAGTTGTATTTAGGTTACCTTTTTTTTAAGGAAAAACTACATTTTTCTGATATTTTGTGATTAATTCGTGTATGAACTATGGAATCACATTTCTAAGACAATTTCTATATCGACGCGGATGTGATTAGCATACATCTGCGAGATGTCTTCCGGAAGGGCGGGAATTTCAAACAGGCAGAGCTGTTAACGGACGTGCCTTTAAAATAATTGTTTACGAAGTAATTGTTTTTCTTTTTGAAGGCAAGAATCATTGGCGAGCTATAAATACACGGACAGGTAACTATGGCGTTGATTTGGTTGTTTGTAATTTATTTTCAAATTAATTGTTAGGTTCGACAGAGAATGTTAGATCTGATTAATTGTGGCCTCCTGATCAGAGGCTGGATTTGCTCGGGGGAGGCATGGCCTGGGTATGTGGATCTCTTTAGGGTCTCCATAGTTGGACGAGGCCCGTGATCAGTCGGGATTTTTGTTTTGACCTTCCGATGAAACGGATTTTAGCTACGTAGAATACCATATTTCTCATTTTAGTTGTAACACTGCTGGGAGCTGTTCTGAATGCCTGTCGTTATATAGTATCTTTCATAAGCACTGGATATCCTGAAGCACTCTAAACGCAATGAAGTATTTTTGGAAGCCTGAAGTAGGAAGTGTGCAAACAGCAGTGAAATAATATCCATGTTATCTTTTATTTGCGAAGTTTGATTTGATTTATTGTTGTCACGTACCAAGATACAGTGAAAGTGCTGTTTTGCAGGCTATACAGGCAAATGATATCATACGAAGTGCATTAGGGTAGCAGAACAGAGTGCAGAATGCGGTGTTATATACCTTCTACCTGTCTGACTGAAGAGGGTGATGTGGGAGGGGTTTCTGATTATGTTGACTGCTTTCCTGAGGCAGTGGGAAATATAGATGGAGTCATTGAATGAAAGGCTAGTTTGTGTGATGGACTGGGCTGTGTTCCTAACTCTCTGTAGTTTCTTCTGGTCTTGGGGCGAGCAGTTTCCAAACCACACTGTGATGCATCCAGATAGGATACTTTCAGTGGTGCATCTATAAAAATTTGTGGACATGCTGAATTTCCTTTTCCTCCTGAGGAAATAGAGGTGTGGTGTGCTTTCCTGGCCATCGTGTTGACCTGGGTGGACCAGGACAGATTGCTGGTGATCGTTACACCAAGGAGCTTGATGCTTTTGACCATCTCCACCTTGGTACCATTGATGCAGACTCGGATGTGCCCTCCACTCCGCTTTCTGGAGTCAATGACCAGCATGTTTGTTTTTCTAATGTTGATGGTGAGATTGTTGTATTTATTCCATGCCACTAAGCACTCAGTCTCTTTCTTGTACGCTGTCTCGTCATTGTTTAAGATCCAACCTACAATGGTGGTGTCATCAGCAAACTTGTAAATGGAATTGGGGTAGAATTTGGTCACACAGTCATGAGTGTATAAGGAGTATAGTATTGGGCTGAGTACGCAGCCTTGTGGGGCACCGGTGTTGAGGGTTATAGTGGACAAGGTGTCGTTGTCTATTCTTACTGATTACAATCTATGAGTCAGGAAGTTGAGGATCCAGTTACAGAGGTGGGAAGCTGAGACGGAGGTCTCCAAGTTTAATGAGTTTGTTTGGAATTATGGTGTTGAAGGCGGTGCTGTAGCCAATAAATGGGAGCCTTATGTAGGTATCCTTGTTATCCAGATGCACCAGGGATGACAGTAAGGCCAGGGAGGTGGCATCTGCCATGGACCTGTTGTGACAGGTAGATGAACTACAAAGGATCAAGGCAATTTGGTGGCCAGAGTTGATGTGAGCCATGATTGACCTCTCGAAGCACTTCATAATTATCGAGCTCTGAGCCACCGGGAGTCATTGAGGCAGTCTGTGTGGTTTTTCTTTGGCATCGGGATGATGGGTAGCCTTCTTGAAGCAGGTGGGGACTTCAGATTGTAGTGAGGAGAAGTTAAAGACGTAAGCGAATAGTCTGGTCGGCTAATCCACACACGATCTAAGTGCATGACCGGGGACTCCAACTGGTCCAGTCACTTACTGTAGGTTCACTCTCGAAGCAGTGGCTGTAGAAGCAGGTGCATCTGGGTCTTTGGGGAAAGGTAATATCATGACCAGCTGGTATTCATTCTGTTTGACAGGAATTTCAGCAAATGTGAGAGAACACAGCTGTCTAGGCAGGATTTGGCTTGTTTCATGTCAGTGTTAACCGCGTGATTGTTTCCATGGTAACCAGCACTTTGGGTTCTGAATGGTGTAATTGGTCTGTGCGCACAAGATTATTGGTGAGTTGATCTGTCATTGGTTAGTAAGCGCTGGACTTTATTTGTTCCTTATAATCACGTGGCTGCAATAAATTACTTCAAAGACCATGATATCAGCAATTGTTCAGTGCTTCCATGTGATTTAGAATAATAGCACAGAAATGATACATTTGGCTCAAGTGGTTGATGCTTTACTGATGTTGCCATCATGCCTTTTCCCTTCTCCACCTTTGTGGTTTCCACTTAAGTTCTCAATGCTTCCTTCTTCATCTTATGGGCATTTCCATTTTCTGAAGTACAGTTTCACCCTGTTCTATTAATGACTACCTTATATCTGCAAGCCAGATTTTAGATTCTCTCAAGTGGATGCATCTACCCTATTGTACCTTTTCATAATTTTAAAGAGTTCACTTCTCAGTATTCTTCTGAGGAAAATAAACTCCAACCTTTTCAATATTCCTATAGTTACAACCCTTCAGTTTTGGTATCTTTTATTTGTATCTTTTCCAATGCTGATGTAAGTATGAATTAGGATGTTGTACCATTCTCTCTCAACTGAGACATGTGTGAGCAAGTCTGCACTAGAATATCAGGGAAAATGTTACAATGCACAGAATGTACTACAAACAACTGCTTAAACCCTGATTATCATACAAACAAGTCATTTTCTCCAGTTACTCCATCTACCTAAACCAATGAATTTCAAATGTTTATACCAAGCTCATGCCGATTGGATATCATGGAAGTTATATCTATTTTGTCAGGCTAACGGTGCTTAATGGAGGCTTAATGCCCTGGATTTTAAATCGCAGTACAGTTTGTTCTCTGTGGATGTTTATCATGGGGCAGCATGGTGGCTCAGTAGTTAGCACTGCTGCCCCACATCGCCAGGGACCCAGGTTCGATTCCACCCTCGGGCCACTGTCTGTGTGGAGTTTGCACATTCTCCCGATGTCTGCGTGGGTTTCCTCCCACAATCCAAAGATGTGCAAACTAGGTGGATCGGCCATGCTAAATTGCCTGTAGTGTTCAGGGATGTGTAGATTAGGGTGATAGGTCTGGGTGGAATGCTCTGAGGGTGTTGTTGGGCCGAAGGGCCTGTTTCCACACTGTAGAAATTCTATGATAGATGATCTATTCTATGATCTTTTCACTGACCTTCTGTTCAAAATGAGCATAGAATGAATGCATTGAGCTCATTGGGTAGGAATGTATTATTGCTGCTGATTCTGTTCGATTTCACTGTGTAATCCGTTATGTCGCCCATTGTGTTATAATGTTGACTGAGGGACAAATATCGGCTTGGACAGGATAGCCATTCTGATGCTTCTTTGAAATACTGCAATATCATTTACATTCACTTGAACTTAACAAAAGACAATACAATAGATAATTTATTATCAAGATGAATAAAGACTTTATGCTTTGTCATTGTACTGGAATCAGACAGTGGGGTTTACTGTAGTTATCATCATCAATTGCTCACTAATGGGGAGTATGATTGTCCACCAAGGAAATTCCTCATGTCATTTGTGATGGATTATGTGGGTCCTTGCATGACTGATAAGCCTGATCCTTGAGCCGCATCTCTAACCTCTCATTTCCCAAAACATCTTCCAAATATAACTGGTCCTTGATGTTGAAATTGTCGGCATTCCTTCCTCTGGTTCCTTTTCCATACTTCCTCCAGCTGATGGTGTTCTTGAAGAATTATGTCCCTTCATACAGGAGTTTTCTCCAAGTTGGTTTCTCTGAACGAGGGTCTCCCGTACGTTGACATCTATGTTACATTTCTTAAGGAAAGCCCTCAGGGAGTCGCTGAAAGGCTTGCTTTTGTCCACCTTTCATTCAAGTGCCTTCCTTGAACTGGGCAAAGAAAATCTGTTTTGATAGTCAGAATTCAGGCATGCTAAGCTTGTGGCCAACTCAGCAGAGTTGGTTTTGGATGATAATGGTCTCAACGCTAACCCTGCTAGCTGCTTCAATAACACTGATGTTAGTAAGCCTATCCTCATAGCTGATGCTGGTATCTCTCAAGAGGATTGAGGTGGTGTCTATACGTAGTCCCGGCTTTTGGAGCCAGATGGAAGAATGACTGCCTTGTACATAAGGATTTTGGTAAAAGCGCAGATGTCAAGGTCGTTGAAGACTCTCGCCCTTGGGCATCCAATGGCGCACTTGCAGATTAGATGTAATGCTTTTGGATTGCACTTTTTTTATTTGCTTCCTCCTCTCAATCTTACCATCATGGGTGAACTCAACAACTCCTGACAGCATTGCTCTCTGGATCTACAGAACACTCGAGCCACTACCCTACAGCAAGGTGGCATCCAGTACTTTGCCAGTATTAACAAAATAAATTATTGCTTGTGCAGAACTTGAGCATTGCTGAAAAAAGACATTTTGTTGAACCTTTATATGAATGATTTTAGATGTGAACATAGGAGGTATGGTTAGTAAGTTTGCAGATGACACCAAAATTGGAGGCGTAGTGGACAGCAAAACGGTTATCTCATAGTACAATGGGATCTTGATCAGATGAGCCAATCGGCCGAGGAGTGGCAGATGGAGTTTAATCTAGATAAATGTGAGGTGCTGCATTTTGGAAAGGCAAATCAGGGCAGGACTTGTACACTTAATGATAAGGTCCTGGGGAGTGTTACTGAACAAAGAACTAGGAGTGCAGATTCATAGTTCCTTTACAGTTGCAAGTAGATAGGATAGTGAAGAAGGCATTTGGTATTCTTGCCTTTGGCGGTCAGCGCATTGAGTATAGGAGTTGGGAGGTCATGTTGCGGCTGTGCAGGATATTGGTTAGGCCATTTTTGGAAAGCTGCGTGCAGTTCTGTCCTCCCTCCTATAGGAAGGATGTTGTGAAACTTGAAAGGGTTCAGAAAAGATTTACAAGGATGTTACCAGGATTGGAGGGTTTGAGCTATAGGGAGAGGCTGAATGCACTGGGACTATTTTTCCTGAAGTGTCAGAAGCTGAGGGGGTGACC